CCTTTGTTGCCATTCCCAACAATGGATCTAGGAGTTATACTGGCTTTTATTTGTCCAAGCTTACAAATTCCACTAGTAGATGGAGGGGAAGTAACGGTTGGTGTAGATATTGAACAGGGTGTCCCAGGTTTTGGCACCATTTTAGCAGATTTGCCAGTGCTACTGATACTGACATTACTGTTTTCCCTTGATGTTATTGGTTTGGAACCCACTGAGGTTAAACTGTCACACCTTTCAAGTGACATAAGACTACCAAAATGCCTTCCACTGTCTCCTTTAGCACTATGTGATCTGAGACTAGAAGCTGTCTTCAGGCTGGATGACTTAAAGCTAAAGGATTCCCCTCTAACTCGAACATCAAAGTCCTCCTCAGAAATCAATGCTTTGGAGGAAGACAATCTTGTTCCATCATTACCTACAGACTTTAAGGCACTAGGAGACAACAAAATGCGTGTTCTCTGGTCGAGGCTTGACTTTCGGACAGGTGGAGCAGGGGGTGACATGCTTCCGGACTTAGGGAGCATACTACCCTTCTGTCCATTAGCTCTCTTTCCTAAGGATGAGAATTTCAGGCTACCAGTTGTTTGAGAGGCATCATTACCCCATTTCATCTCAGAGGAGCTATGGGGCACTGAGACCATGCCGAGAGTGGTGGCTCCTCTCCTGAGCTGAGGCATCTTGCTCAGGTCCCCTTTCTTAACACTCGACTTCTCACAACCATCCACAACCCTCTGAGATGTGGACGACACATGCATTTTAGGAGGGCGAGGTACACTGTTGCTATTCCCGCTTGTCTTTCTGGACGGAATCCCACTCGTGCTATTTTTCGGTGGTTTGCTAACAGAGCTAAACTCAGAATTCCTGGCCGAGTGTAGCCCACTACTAGTGTGGGTCCATTGTTCATCTATTCTGCTACCTTGGCGTTGTAGCTCATGGCTGTAGCTACTGCTAGAAGATGCAGCTTGGGTGCTCTTTCTAGGGAGTGTAGAAATGTATGAGATCTGGGCAGACTGTGAGATCATGAGTCTATTAGATCTTATCGACTTTGGACCACCAAGGGATGCTTTGGTACTGTCATAAGATAGAGGGCACTTAGATATGGACAATTTGTCAATGGTTGCAGA